CGATTTTTATTTGAGTTACCGAAATGTTTCATATTGTAGCAGCTAGCTCCCTGTTCCACAGCATCAACACCCTTAACACAGGGGAAAAAAGTAATACGAGAGCCTTGTTACAGCAATTCCTGGCCTATCCCTTAATAACAACTTGCTGAACCAAGGAAAGAACCTCCGACGACTACTCGAAGACAGTCCACTGAAGGAGAAAAAAGTGGTTGTGTGGCACGACGTGGTGAACAACACCATTAGCAGCCACAGAACAAACAACTATCGCCCAGCTGGTGTCGAGGAGCTGACAAACTATTTGAAGACGAAGAAGCAGCAGATATTGGCGATCGTTTATTGCAGAAGGGAAGGAACGCCCGACTTGTTTAGTCAGCTTCTCGGCACAGGGGTGCTCATTATTCCAGCTACAAAACGACTACTCTCCAAGAGAAAGCAAAACAACCCGGAGCAGCTATAGGAATATTTGAAGCTGCACCAGAGTGCTGATTTGGAGCTGAAATCTCTGCGATTGGTAGTGGCACACAAAGAAAGGCTGTCAGAGCTGATTGGCAATATCAGGGGCAAACAACAGAGACCATCACAGACAAGGAGGAAGGCGAAAGCAAGACGTGAGCAGAAGCTGAGGGCAGAGGAAGTGTCTGCGCTTCAAAGACAGGGGTGAGAAGAGTGTGATTTGTTTTGCTTTGTGCCTTGTGAGTTTCATTACTCGTGGCCTGCAAAACAATGACCACAGTACTTTTGCCTGCTGTTTGGCTCAGACAAATTTTGAAAAGGAAACTAACTTGGAAAATTGTGTTAGACTATTTAAAATTCTTTAAAAAAGTTCAAGTATCTGTACATAGACTGAAGTTTCTGAGAAAATGTCTGAAAAACGATCTAATACCGGACTTTTTGAAGTTTAGGGTCCCCGAGAACGGGGTTTTTTCGGACCAAGCTGTGCATAATTTTCAATTGAAACTACTAAGGACTGAAACTTCTAGGGAAAATGAGGATAGGAAAAGGTACGAGGAGATGCTAAGGAAAGCAAGATCACTGGTGCAAAAAGAAATTGACAAACAGTGGTGGGCATCCATTTTCCGATTCGTGAGGCGGCAAGTTGAGGCAAGCTTAAAGACAACATCAGAAAACCATAGAAAAAAGTTAGAAAAACTGTCCGAGAGACAAGATAAACCTCTTGGGGGGAGAAATGAGCGATCAGTTAGGGTACTTGATAATATTGAACTGCCTGAATGGGTATATGAAGTGCTATCAATGGGCCCCAAGCATCCAATTAGAGACAAATTTAACGAAACACATTTTTTGGCGGATATCGACATTTTCCTCTCACAATTGAAAAATCAAAAAACATCTGGTGAAACGTTATGTGAAATAGAAGCCGCGGCAAAGGCATATGCAAAAAACGTACAGCAAACCCCAAGAGACAAAGCCGTTGAAAAAACGAGGAAATATCTCAAAGATAATGGGTTGCTGGCTGTGCCTTTTGATAAGGGGGTTGGTTTTTGCATAATGAGGAAACAAACATATGAATCAAAGCTGGAATCCTTGTTGCAATCTGCTCAGTTTGTGAAAAAAGATGCAACCACTGATGAGGTGATACTGAAAATTGAGAAAGAACTTAACAAAGAGTTACTAGCCATGAACAAAAGAGACGAGATAAGTGATCAGTTATATTCTAAGATACGATCAACAGGGGGGCAACCCGCCCGTTTGTACGGTTTAGCTAAGGTACACAAGGATGAGACACCCCTACGACCTGTACTATCACTTCCCGGCAGCTCGTATGAGAATCTTAACAAAATGCTTGCGAAGTTTTTTGACAACATCGATGGAGCAAATATAGAAACCAATACTAAAGAGGCTAGAGAAAAAATAGAAAACATTGCTCTAGATCCGGATGAAACCATAATATCTCTTGATGTGAAAAGTTTGTACACCAACGTTCCCCTGAAGGAGGCAATTGAAATTGCTTTACAGAAGCTGTACAGCCAGGAGTCTCCTCCTGAAATTCAAAGAGCAACCATGAAAAGGCTTTTGAATATGGCGGTCAGCAAAGTATATTTCAAGTGTAATGATTCATGGTATGTACAAGTTGATGGTTTAGCAATGGGAGCGTCCCTCGCTGTAATTCTGGCAAACTTATGGCTGAAAGAATACGAATTTGCTCTACGACAACAAATACCGGTGGGAACGGGGGTACAGCAAATTAATGACAAAAACGGCTTGTGCCCATGTTGCAGCAGGAAAGTCACATATAGATCAAAGGGGGTTGAATGCGAGAGTTGCCGAAACTGGTATCATCTAAAATGCGGAAAAATATCCGATGACGTATACGCATCAATAACCGAGATAGTCTGGTACTGTGAAAGCTGCTGCCGAGCTAAGAACAAGGAGAAGGATACTCCCCAGGTGAAATTGTTCCTCAGGTATGTGGATGACATTGTTAGAACAGTCAGAGGGGAGCCGAGTTGTCTTCTCGATGCCGCCAATTCTCTTCATCCAAATTTGCAGTTCACTCTAGAGAAAACTAATTCGGAGGGGAATTTGCCGTTCCTGGATTTGAACATAAATATATCGCAGGATAGGCGTGTAACTTGCAGTTGGTATCAAAAACCAACAGATACAGGGACTATACTGAACTATAGAAGCTGCGCCCCAACTCAGTATAAGCGTAGTGTTATCCAAGGCACTGTACACAGGGTTTTTAGGAGTACATCTAGCTGGGAGCAATTTGATAAGGCTATGGAAACTAATAGGGCGCAATGGCTGACAAATCAGTACCCTGAAAATTGGTCCGCAAAGGTGGCTTCAGACGCCTTGTGCAAGATCATCGAGGGTAAAGGCAAGCCCCTGGATAGTGACAGGGGTTTGTCAGTTCAATCACCAAAGGATGAAAAGCCCCCAATGCTGATGGTGCAATATAGAGGTAACCAGAGCCAATATTTTGCAAACAGGTTACGAAAATTAACGAACGTTCAAGTGGTTTTCATCACAAGAAAACTACAATCATGTTTACCATCACTGAAGTCAGCATTTTCTAATGACCTCAAGTCAAGAGTGGTTTATAAACTGTCATGTAGTGGATGCACTTCCACCTATGTCGGACAAACTGTTCGACATTTGACCACTAGAATTGAGGAACATAGGAAAGCAGACTCACCGGTAGGCCTCCACCTTCAGCAATGCCAACTTGAGGGAAATAGCGCAGATCTTAGTTGGGAAATTATAGATAGGTCAAACAACCAAACAAAATTGCTAACACTAGAGGCAATACATATCAGGAAAGAGAAACCGGGCTTGAACACGCGCGATGAGTTTAGGAGCAGGGAGTTAACACTGAAAATTTAGTCCCAAAATATTTTTGGTTTTCTATTCAAAACGTACATGTCTAAATCGAAATTATGACTCAGAAACTTCCAGACAAATTAATTTTAAAATGTTTAATTAATTTTAGAGGTTAAAAGTATTTTAATCTTAGTGGTAATTTAGAGGTCAACTGTGATTGGCTAATTTTTTATCATGATGGTTTAGAACCAAATTGTATGTGATTTATTGTAAATAACATTTGTAAATTGATGTTTTATCGTCATTTAGAGTAGTTTATTGTAAAAATCCTGACGATGCACATAGTTGCGAAAACGTTTGAAATTTACTTTTTAGCAAAAATTTTTTCCACTTTAGCTCAACTTTGCGATGGTGTAGCCTGCTATCAGTGAACCCGGCGACAATGGTTACTGCATTAAGGCGCTTTGGTTTGCATGCTAAAACTGTTTTATACAGATCTTAAAATGACGCCGCGGTAAGAGTGAACTGTAGGTTTTACTGGAGCTGGTTTGATATTTTTGTCCTTGATGTGCCAATTACAAGCTTCTGTGATTATTCAGGGAGGCTCCTTGCCTGGAATTCAGGGACGCGCATCCCTGAAATTTCAGGGATGCGCCTTGCCTGTTTCAGGCCTGGAATCCACCTGAAACACAGACAGCGAAGGCAACGGAAAAGCTCTTCAGCATAAAGATGGGTGGATGGTTGGGCAATTAATCAAATAGTTTTCTGAGGGTTTTAAAAAAAACGAAAAAGTGAAAGATGGGAACGGTTCAACCTGTGTTGTTGTTGAAGGGTAGTTCCATCTGCTCACTCCTTGTGTCTATATAAGCCAGCGGTAAATTTGGACAAAGAAGAATCTATTTAATAAGTTTATCACAACAATTGGGTTATTTTCAATTGAAGTACGCATGAAAAAAATATATTTTTGTATTCTAAGAAGAGGTCAGTAGGTGGGCAACCCGCTCGCTTGTAAGCTTTATCTAAAGTACACAAGGCATAGTCACCCCTTCGACCATTTCTATAACTTTCGGGCAATTTGGATGATAATCTTTACAAAACGCCTGCTAATTCTTTTGATATCGTTGTAGCCAATATCGAAATTAACACTAAATATGCAAGAGAAACATTTGAAATCATTATCTTTGAAAAGATTCGTCAGCACTAATCGGAAGCACCCATAGTTTCAAAAAAAGCTGCTTAAAAGGAGTCTGAATGCATGTATTTGATAATTAGGATCCTCTTTCCTTCCACATTGACATCTTTTGTATGGCATTTCAGCGTCAAAGAGATGTACTTTTTATCTGTTGAAGATTTAACTTCCGATTTGTTGTCAGCACATTTTCAAGTAACAAGAGCAAGTGGTGCACTTCATACATTGATAAGTTGTGAGCTATGACGCGTAATTTGAACAGTCATCCGGTTCAATTTACATTCCTCGTGACCCCAATCAAGAAGTTTGCCTGAATACGTGTTGTCCATAATGGTATTTGAAATCAGGCGTTGGTTTAATTTTGTGCGCTAGTGTATTTGAGGAACGATAGTTCAACTTTATAATTGTGAGAGCTATTTTTGCGTAATTAGAATTTCACTAATCAGGGTTTTTGATAGATTAAAAAATATCTGACAAGCTCTTATGTTTTAAGATTGAACTATTTAGTTAAATTTTACTCTATCATTTCAGACCTACGCGATGACGATATTAAAACAAAATTGACAATTGTAAATTATTTATTTAATGGACCTCGGTTGAGGATATGTTGAAATGTTGGATGCTGAAAAGTGTATGCGGAGGCGTGGGAGCCGTTGAAGCAATAGACAGACAGCACTCCAATCTGGAAACTATTCCCGATCAAGTTTTTCGATATGCAAAAACGCTTGAAGAGTTGCATCTGGATGCCAATCAAATATCAGTGCTACCAAAAGACCTTTTCAAACTGACAAAACTGCGACAGTTAACACTCAGCGACAATGAAATTAAAAAACTCCCTGCCAATATTGGATCTTTGGTATCATTGATTCAGTTCGACATTAGCAAAAATGACCTCGAAGAAATACCAGAATCAATCAAATTTTGCAAAAGTCTACATTCCGCCGATTTTAGTAACAATGCTATTGGCAAGTAAGTCGAGAGAATGTAAGGGAGTTGTGCTGAAAGAGATTGAAACAAAACAAAAAAGTGTTTCAGGTTGCCCGAAGGATTTACCCTCCTGAGTCATTTAACTCATTTGTCTATAAATGATATATCGCTTTCCGAGCTGCCTTACGAAATAAAGAAGTAAGATAGCATAATTTTTGTCAAATTAATTAAATGTTGGATAATTATATTAATTGGAACCTGTTTTAGCCTTCAAAGTTTGAAACGCTTAGAAATGAGGGACAATTTTCTACGAGTTTTGCCTGAGTATGAAATCAATTAAGTTTTATAAAGCTTTATTTAAACTACCAAGGAATCAGTCGCTTTGAGTTTAGGTCTATCGGAGAACTGCTTTGCCTCGAAGCATTGGATGTTGGTGGCAATGAGCTGGAATTTTTACCACTCGAACTAGGATGTGTACAGTGCCTGAAAGAGCTTTACTTGGACAACAATGAACTGCAAATGATACCTTCGGTTGGTTATTAAAATCATTGTCTTTGTTTACTCGGTTGAATACTAGTTTTTCCGACCATTGAAAATGGGTAGGAACTGTCTTCGGTGGTGTTTAGTTTTTTGTTCCGACCACCGAAAGTGGGGAGGAACTGTGTATTCGGGTGTTATAGCCGACCACTGAAAGTGGGGGGAACTGTGTATTCGGGTGTTAAAGTTTTGTTTTCACGCAAAATCTCACGCGAATAATCATTTGTTGAGAAATGAGTGGCATATCATATTATAGTCTTTTTTCAATCGGGATGCGAATGGCCTTGAAAAGTTTTCAAAAAGTTTTCCCACGAGAAGAACCTCTTTGATTTCTTTTTTCTGTAAACAACCCTGTTACAAATCTGTAAGAAATCCGTACGAGTTCACGTGCAGGCTGGCATGCTCATTTTCTTGAAAATTCAAAGAAGTAATCATATTAGGTAGTAATTGTAAAAGGTAGTAAACCATATTAGTGAACAGTCAATACTTAAAGAGTCGATGAAAGAAGGAAAACTCATATATGTATAGGTCTTAAATAATGTTTTTTTTGTGTTTTTTTTAGGAAAGTTTTAAAATTTGTTCACGCTCAGCTTAAATTTGAGTTTTAGTGGGGAATTTCAATTTTTTCAGTTCAGTTCATTTCTGTTGTTAAAGGGAAGGCAAGCTCCACCATCGAACAGAAAGTGTTAAGATCACAAAAAACATAATGGACTTGTAATTTCATAACTGGATTTTAATTTTCAGATTTCCCAGTGGGATGAAAACTTTACTTATTGATCCAGTTTTCTTAAATTGAGTTAATGTTGTCAAAATTGCTTATGGCAATCATCGAGCTTAAAATACATATATTTTTTATTTTGAATTTCAAAAAGTTAAGTGTCTCAGAAAAACATTCGAATTCTTTTTCCTATTTCCTGGCATTCATTGACTGTTTTATAATTATCTGTTGGCTATATTTTGAAAAATTCTTTGAAAAAACGATTTTTTCGGATTCGTTGGTTTCTACGGCTCATTTTTCAGATAATATCTGGTATGGATTTCATGGGCTTTATTTTCAAGTCATACACTTATCTTTTGATTCATAAAATTTTGGTTTGTTGAATTTTCATTTTTTTTTGGAACTTCAGTTTTTCTCAAACTATTATTGAATTTCAAAATAAGTGTTATCAATTAAAAGACCGCCTGCTCCCTTGTGTGCCTGCTTCCAAAGACCGCCTACTCCCATATTCGCCTAGAGTCTCTTTTTACTGGACCCCTCTGTCTACAGCCTTCGAAATAGTCTGTTGGGGATCATTTCACTCCCATTTTCGATTTTTCTTTTTTTTTGCATAAACTACCCCTCTCAAATTTATCTTTTTGGCTTCAATGAATAAAAAGGTTGTCAAAAGCTACCCTGTATAATGGGTTTTGCCCCTTTTTTACACATGAATTTATGGCCCTCGGAAGAGTCAAATTTTTGATTTTTGACCGTTTTGTGAATCTTTTTGACTTTTCTTGGAAATTAATCGCTCAAGTTTGATTTTGTAGATTCAATAGAGATAACGGGTAATGTGAAGCTCCCCTGCATTAGCAACCACTCTCAATTTTTTTAACAAAAAAATTATTGCCCTCAAATTTTTGATTTTTTGTCCTTTTAATTTTTTTTTAATATTCTCGACAACTACGCTGCCATGTCTGAGATTTTAGGGGTTGTGGGTAGCTGGTTGTAGGTAGCTGATTTGCTGCTGCGATTACGCCCAAATTTTTTGGACACCAAAAGTAATCGCCTTCGGAAAAGTCAAATTTTTGATTTTTTGACCGTTTTTGATTTTTTTTTTACTTTTGATGCGAACTATCTCCCAAATTTGAAATTTTGGATTAAATCGAAGTTACCGATTGCTTGGATCACTTTTGTTTATGCGGCTACGCCCTGTTTTTTCACTTGAAAAGCTATGATTTTGGGAAATGTCAAATTTTGATTTGTTGGTTGTTTTTTTTGGACTTATCTCGCTAACTATCGGCCCAAATCTGATAGCTATGCTCAAATTATTTACGATAAGTTACGGCCTTCAACAAAAAATTTTGACAGTTTCTTGGAAACTTATTGACTTTACGCGAAAACTACCGGGCCAATTCTCAGGTTGTGTTCATTCGAGAATCCCGGTTTAGGGAATTTTCTTTCAATTATCAAGCTCCAGTTTTAGCCGGGCCCCTAGCTATCTTTAATCGAGACATACAATTTTTTTGATTCACCTAGATTTTTTCAACATAATTCAGGTTACTACGAATTGTTTTTTATGTTTGTTGTATCGCAATTGGTGCCAAGCTCCGCTTGGCCTCTGTGTTATAATTTAACTCCGCTTTGCTTGTGTTGATTTGTTTTCTGCTTAGAGAAACTAGTTTTGGAAGTTTCATTTAGCTTATTAGCAGTAAGTTTTGAAACAAAGTAGAAAAAATGCTCGCAGTGCTATCGTCACCACACGCAAAAAAGGGCACTTATTTTCTAGTTTTTTTTAATGTGATCGAAACAATCTGTGCTGCATGCCCAGCAACTATTGTTTTGATTAGGTAATGTTGTCTCACGCATTTGCTTTTGAGTGTGCTTGTTATTAAGGAACTAGGTGTCTTTGCGTAAACAACTTTTTATAGTCAAAATCATTTCTTTATTACACAATCAAATCTTGCGTGATAGTATGCACGTTTTTTCAACCTAAGTCGCAAATATTAGTGTTTATGTTGAAAGTTTTCTTTTATTGCAGCATGTGCATAAGATCAAGAACCAGCTATTAAGTACAGCCAGTGCTAAGAATATTAACTCAGACTATTATATTTAAAATAGCTCTTTAGCCTCAAGGTATCATTTTTCTGTAGCGTAGAGGTAGGTAAGGAGACCCGCAACAAAATATGAGGGTTTGAAGCTGGGCAATGTATGTTTTCATTGAACTTTTTCGTATACTACTTAAAATGGGTCTGTAGTATGAACTTTTTCTGGATATGACTTTCGTTAGTCCACAAATATATTTTTGAGCATGTCTGCGTTTCAAAAACCAGGTCTTCGAAATATGTGTTCTAGGTAGTCTGATTTACCAAGTCTGATTTGTTCTAATTTCAATTTGTTCTTTTTTTCGGCTGAAAAGGATTCGGCTATGCAATATTGGCTCAGTGGTCTCACATTGCGTCGTTTGATGAGCAAAAAAAAAACTTTTTTGTTTCCAGCTCATCGGGTCTCGGCTCAAATTTAATTGCACTTGCGAGACCAAGTGTCTTTTAATCGGGAACTAGACGTCCATAAATAAATATTCTTACCAATTTGTAAGAAATTGATGTTGCTTTTTAATTAACCTGAGCAACTTCCAGGCCCTTAGCGAAAATCTTTAGCAGTTTTCATTTGTGTCTCGAGTGTCATTGATTACACTTGCGAAGCTAGTGTATTAGTACGAACATTCTTTTTTTCTAACCTAAGTCGGAATTATTGGTGCCACTGTTGGAAATCCTTTACAGCTTTTTGATAGCATGCACTTTGACATTCGAATAGAAATAAATTAACACAGTTGATGCATTTTTAATTCATTAAATCAACCAAAAAAAGCTATTTGTTTCAAACAACATCACATGAAAAACTCGATTTCAGAAATTTTCTGACTCAATATATCTCGCAAATTTTTGAAATGCATAAAGTGGCTTCATGTTTTGCATTTTATTACATGCAAAGTTAGTGTGGATGCCATTAGTCTGTGATATTCCAAATTATTACTTGCAAAATTGAGTCTATTTGTATTTTGTGCCACTTTTGCTGAATGGCATTGGCAATTTATTAGCATATATAGCTGCTTTATTCATGACTAGTGTTTGTCGGTTGTTAAGATTGCATGGCCGAGGGGATAGTGCGTGAGACTCAATTTCTCTTGATTGCAGTCGGTCGCAGATTCGAATCATGCATGTAGCCGAGTTTTCGCTAATTCGATGCTTTTTTCTCTTTTTTTTTTAATTTCACTTGATAGAGCTGCTTTTTGGTCGTGTTCTCGCAAGTTTTTGTGAAGCGCAGCTTCGCCTCTATGTTAACTCCTGTAAATTTATAACCCTGATTGGTTTATTTCCCGTTTTTTTTTGCTTAGAACTTTTATTCGGCCTAATTGATTTTGATTTTTTTTGTCGGTTCAGTGAACTTATTTTGCATCGGCTTAAGGGCAAACATTTTTTTTGTTTTGATCAAATCAGGTTATTTGTAGCATAGAAGTTTAAAAATCAATTGTTTTAATCGCTCAATTTTATATAATAATTTCGTTTTTTGTTTTCTAATCAATGGGTGTCTTAACCTCGTGTTGTCGGCTTAGTGAGCGCTCGGAAAAAACTAAAAGCTTGTTTAATGATAGTGGTTGTGTCCTTGTCTTTTTCCGATATTGAGTTTTTCCTTTGTCCTAAAATTTTTTTTCGACTTCGTTATTTCGATATCACTTCCCTTATTTGGTAGCTTGCAATGCTGCGCTTTCGTTGTTTCGCAAGTGATGCGAAGATCCGCTTCGCTCTATCATATTTGTTACCGCTTTGTTACATTTGTTCTGATCCTAATATTTTACGCTTGTGATTAGCAGGCGTTATCAAATCGGAATATAGACTTTTTCCGGGTTAAAAACTAGTTCGACAAAATCACTCAATCATTTGTGCAATATTCAATTCTGCAGCAAACATGCTCAAATTCTTGTAAAATCAATCTTAACTACTGGGTACGAAAATTACTAGACGACTAAGGGAGTTTGCTCGAGTCCGGTCAGCACATGTTTTTTTGCCTTAAATTTTTAGTATAAAAAATGATCGGCTTATGGGTTGTCGGCTTAGTGGCCACATTTTTAAGCTTTTTTTTTTGTTGTTTGATGTTTTATTGTAATTGAAAGTGTTTTTTGGTTGTTTGATGTAATTCGCATTTCTTACACTTGTGAGAGCAAGTGTCTTGTTATCGAGAACTAGACTGTTTTCCTGTAAACAACTTAAAGATTTGTAATTGAAATTGATTTTGC